CATAATAGAGGTAATATGCAAATTGAAAGTCACAAACTCGCACAAGATGGCCGCCCCTATGTGGTCATAAAATGGCTGCCACAAGATTGTCGGCAGGGGCAGACAATTGGGGGTGACCAAGTCTGCAAGGGAGGAAGGGCAATTGGGGGCCAGCAGGGTAGAGCAGTTGGGGTGACCAGGCCAGCAAGGAGGACACTTAGGGGCCGGCAGGGGAGGGCAGCTGGGGGCAATTGGGTCTGCAGGGGAGCAATTAGGCATTGATCAGACTTGCAGAGAAGTGGTTATGGGGTGAATAGGCTGGCAGGCAGAAGCGGTTAGGGACAATCAGGCAGGTGATCCCTGTGGGATCGGGCCTAAACCGGCAGTCAGGCATCCCCCAAGGGGTTCCAGATTAGAGAGGGTGCAGGTTGGGCTGAGGGACACACACGCCAGTGCACAAATTTCATGCTTTGGGCCTCTAGTATACATACAAAAGCCTACGTGACCGCAATGACCAGTTGCTATGATGTGCACTGACCACCAGGAGGCAGACACTCAATGCAGAAGCTGCCCCCTGGTGGTCAGTGCACTCCCACAGCCAATCTCCCCCCGCTGGCCAACCTCCAGTGGTTCCTCCCCCAGGCCTCTGGGCTGGGACAGGGAAGCAGGGGTGGGTGATGGCAGATGCAGCCCCTTTCCCAGAGGGGCTGAGGGCCGGCTCCCTTCTCGGGGCTGTTGGCCAATCTCCCGTGCCCTGTCCGTCCCTGACCAGCAGGCCCCGATCAGCTCACCTCATGCCCGCCATGGCAGTGAGGGGAGGAGGAGGAAAGAGGTGGGGAGCCATGCAGTGGCAGGGCACTGATGACGGCAGCAGCTTTTGACATTTTTTTCCTTCTGCACTCGGCCTGGTGACTGTTGCCTCCTCTTTGGCCCGGCCCTGATCGGCCCAGGCCTAATTGACCCTGATCGCCGACCAGGCCTACGGACCCCACCCATGCACGAATTTCATGCTCTGGGCCTCTAGTAAATTCATAATCCCTCACCACTTTGGCCTTGTGCATTCCTCCTTCAGGGACCGCAACAGGTGGTGGCCATGGAGGTAGTAAAAATGGTCATTCCTGCACAGGTCCTGGCATGTAATAAGCACTCAGCTCTCAGCTCAATGTTTACAAATACACAGCTTGTGCTAGTATATCTTTTTAAATCACAATTTAGCAGAGGAGTGTTTGTACTAAATCTGGAACTGGTCTAGATGAAAGGAGATTAAAGAGGCATGACCATTAAATGCAATGGCTACCCCTGGTTAAAAGTACAATAGCTAGCACATAGGTACAACGGGGGAGATTTTAATCTAGACTGTGTGTTGGGAAATAGCACTGGATCAATGTTAAATTTCTTGAATATGATCATTATATTGTGATTATAAGAATGCCCTTGGTTTGGAAATATTAGATAGAAACTGTGAGGATATAATTTACTCTCAGGTGGTTCAGGAAAAAAGTATATCTTATTTATAGAGAGAAATACACTCAGAGTGGCATAGAATGATAGCAAAAGATTAAAACCAGGAAAACCTAGGGGGTACGTATATGGAGGGGTGTTAATTATATTATCCTTGCATTATGTTATCCTATGCTTTGAAATTTTTTAATATAAAAAGTTGGGAAAAGAAAACAAAAAAAACAGAACACTTTATATCTACCATAAGCAGTGTTAGAAGAAAAGCCAGAGAAGAATAATTCACATTCAGTTCTGAAACCAAACACAAATACTTTTATTTATGAGATATCATTTTACATCAATTCCATTAAAACCTAAAACCAGTTTGCTGTACTCAAGTTAGGTGGCATAACAGTATCTGAGTTAAGCTGGGAGTCACAGGACTTGCACACGTTTATGAATGTAATGCAAATACTGACGACACGAAGCATTCACAGTTATAGGTTAGCTGCTGTTCATTCAACAGTAGCCCCCAAGAGAAATTATAGAAATTATTTCATGAAAAAAGCAATCCACGTTTTGGTCTCATTTACAAACACCCAACATTTTAGTTGGTCAATGAATTCTATACAATTATTATACAACATAACATATGAAAGAATAAAAGATAAGGCTTACAGAGGTATTTTAGCAGTTGTAAGATTGAAAACCAAGGGCACAAAAAAACTTTTAAAGCTTTCCGTATAAACCTCAAAGCACTAATAAAAGGAGGCTGAGAGGCAACAGAAACCTGCTGCTAAACCAGGTTTATCTAGTCAGATTTAGAAAAACTTAATTCCGAGTTCATGCTTCAAAAGAGCTGCAAGGAACATTACAGTGGGTGTTTATGGCAAATCAAATAATGAGCTTTCTGACCTAGTGCAGCAGTAAACGTCTAAAAGTCGTAGTGTCCGTTACGACAGACTATTGCAAGGTGGAGGTCAAAACAGTGGAGAGAGAGAAAGGATGTGGACCTGGGTGATAAAGAAAAACCAGAAGGCACCCTAGTTTATTTAACATCAGCCAGTAAGTGTTTGGTGATTGCTCAATTTTATGTAACTTAGGGGCGCTTTAAAGGAAAGGATACCTTATTATACTGTCTAACCCCTTTTTCTCCCCTTAAAATAACAGCATAAGGCCAAGGAAACCAAGGGCCAAGAGATTTCTTTTTCAAGGGAGTTCAAAGATTTGGAATTGTCTAACATATGCAAGATTATCTCTTTAGAATACTTTCATATTATATACATCACGAAAGTTTCTAGCTGGGATTTCCCCATCATCAAAGCATTCTTGTGGATGAAATGTAACATCTGCCCAGAAACAGTCCTGCTCTTACTTTAGGATTGACTGTGCTTAGTGTTTTAAAACAGGAGTCGCCCACCTTTCGGACCTCGCGGATCACCAGTTGGCGACCGCTGTTCTGAAAAGTCTCTACTCTTCAACAGTAACTTTTAAAATACTCTCATCTGTGATTTATATTTATATATCCATCTCTGATTTATTGACCAAATTTAAGAACTGTTGACTTCACAGTGTTTTGGGTTTTTGTTTTTAATTCATGGGATACCTCTGAAAATGAATCAAGTTCTCCACCTATCTAACCTATGCCAATCGCCACGAGAATGACACCATCAGAACGGAGCCCCTTCCAACACACTAGCCTCATGGGCTGTTCTTGCCATCAACATCTCCAGTTCTTTTCAGGTATTAATTTGTGCAAACTGGTATGAATTTATAAGGTAGAAGTGACTCTACAATTCCTAAACAAGGAATGATTAAGAATGCTTAATCACTACAGGGATTTTCAAACTTCTGGTTTATTTCACAGCAAACCAAACCTTTCTAATTGGTAGAAAAAAGAATCCTACCAGATCAAGATTTTGTGTATGTGCACACACTGTATATACATAAAAAAAAATTCTGTCTTTGGTGGTTCAGTTAGAGAAAAAAATAATATGAAAATCTGAACACTGCTTGCAAAGAAACTGTGAAATAGTGGTTAAGAGGAGCATGGTCTGTGTGCTTCTCTCATTGAATGCCATTTAAAGGTTCACATTTAATCCAAAAGATTTTTTCAGTCAGATTTTGAAATAATCCAAACCTCTTCCAATCATGACATGTTCAATCATGAATCTTGCTCATACAGTAGCATTCACTGGTTCAAATGCACCATTAGCTTTTTACTTGGTTTAAACCATTAGACTTTTTTGTTTTCACAAAACTTTAGGGACTAAATTAGTCATTCAATAGCACCAGATAGTTGAGGGGAAAACATGTTATCTACACATTTCCTAAAGGGCAAGGTAAGGGGAGGGAAATAAAAAACATAAAATACAAACCTAAAAGTCCCGTCCTGTTTACAAGTTCCTCATCCACATAAATAATGGCTATCACCTTTCTGTACAAACGACCCAGGTAACGACAAGCGGCCTCTCCAGGGAAGGTCCTACCGTGTAAAAGAGTTAGCTCGATGCTGGTGGTTTCATATCCACTGCCTGCAATGGACATTCTGCCAGAAAAAGCCTGGCATGAAAGAAACAGGAAGGAAAACAAAACACCTCTCACGTATAATAGAGTTCTTTGAAGAAAAAAAAAACCTAGAAAATTAGACACCATGAAAGCTTAACTAAAAATTCAAGCCACAACTAAAACTGCTCTGCAATTATCAAATGCCAGTTTCCATGAAGGAGGCAAAACCAATTTCACTTAGAATGGCATAGAAGGCATCAGCAGACCAAACACTGACAAGAAGAATGCAAAAGAGAAAGAAATACCTGCTAAAGCAAGTTTATACTAGAGTTCATAACCATTCTATTTTTTAAAATGGTATAATGTTAATTTATTCATTTGTACCTATATTCAAAGTATTACAGCTTTTTAACATTAGAAAAGAAAAACCTATAACTTGCATGGTGGAAATGATTGATGACATGGTTGGTACATATCAATATGCTCAAATAATTATAGTTTCGTCATTTAAAAATGCTAATATCCAGGTAAACCAATTACATTTGGCATATGCCTATACAAAGTTAGAACTCCCACCTCCTTCCAAAAGTTGGCCTCTTGAACAATAAGGTGAATTCTGGCAACATTTACTTATGGTAAAATTCTTCTGTTCTCTGAAATGCTACATTTGAGACCAAGTAAAGTATAATTGGTTCATTTGAAAAAAGGGACTAGAAATATGCCACAAAAATTATTTTTACAATACATTTTTGCAGAAATAATCTCTAGGTGAAGCTTTTTCTTTTTATACACATGTACAAAATTTAAACAGCAATATACACATAATCACAGTGAGGACGTTGGCAAATTCACCAATCTGTAGTGTAAATACAAACTGCAAATGCAGCCTCCCAAGAGAATAATGCTACACAGCAGGCAGAGCTGGCCCATTCAATAGCAAACACCAAAAACGTCCCTGCAAAAGGGAGACAGTGCAAGAAAAGCAGCATGCGCTTTGATACAAACAGCAATTTATGGCTAATGGTTGACATAACTGTGGTAACAGTGACTCTCGCGCTGCTATGCATAAAGTCCTAGGACATCTGCTTGTCTTTATACCACTCCACAAACTCGTCCAACAAAACGGGCCCTGGAGGAAAAGAAAAGACAAGACAGCTGAGGAGGACGCGCGGGTGTGCAGCGACGTGAAGAGGGAGAGGACACCCAGCGCTGGTACTTACATGCGCCATCTTCATCGTAGTTGCTGAGGTCAAGGCTAATTGTTCTGCTAAACTCTAGCACATTGCACCACTGGTCTTTGTTAATAACTTTATATTTTGATTGCTGATGGAGGGAAAAGTAATAGGAATTACTGACATAATTAACAAATGGGACAGTGTCAATTGCTGATGAATCAACTTGATACAGTTCATAAAGGTTAACTTTTTCCATTGGGTTGTTAAGTACCAGTCTAGAAGGACTGCGAGAGAGAGCAGGAATAAAACTTAAGATGACAGCTTTCATTACAAAAATATTATGGGGCCCAATACAAATGAAAAGCACATCAAAGAAACACAATTTTATATACCTAGAAGTGAAATTTCTAGACTGCAAAGGTTCTTTCACATAAAATGGGGGTAACATTTCCTTCATAGAGATGTTGCAAAGATTTAAGAGATAATTTAGGTAACTTATGTAAGGCCCTTCATTCATACTTGGCACACAGGAGTGCTAAATAAAGCGTAGCTCCATGAATGAGCCCTGATATGACCAGGTCGCACTCTGTCAAGCTCTGAGCTCAAGTACACACAGCAGTCGATGAGGAGATCTCAGACTAGGTGCTCTAGCCACTGAAGAAACGACTGTTCTAATAAGTCAAAACTTCAATCTGATCATAAAAGTAATCGGAGTAGATTCCTATTCCTTTTAGACAAGGAATATGCCATATGTGTATTTTAAAATACAGTATTCATGTGTAAACATTTGAAAATAAAAGCTAGATCCAACAATTTTTTAATCTTAACCACCAATATCAGAAACACTGGAAAACAATACAAGCAGACAAAAAGCAAAGAGTTGAACCAATAGTTTTGAAGATGCAAACACAAGAACAGCTGAAAATGAAAGGATTACTGTCTCCTTTTAAAAGAAAAATGCAAACTAATAAGAGAATAAAGCAGATTACTAGTTTCACTTTCTAGGCACCTAAAAGCAAGAGCCAGCTGGTGGGACTCCTGGAACTGTGCAAAGTCAAACTGGCTTCAGGCAAGGTCCTAGGTCTAAAGGACTCTTCACACTCAACACTCAACACTCTAAGAGCAAGAACCTATTTCTATTCATTTTCCAAATAAAGTTAACACTTTATGGGATTGGCAGAGAAATTAGAACAGATCACTCGTAGTGTGAATGGTCATTAAACAAATACTTCTTACATTAAAACTAGTTTTTATGACTTTCTTGAGGAGTTCCAGTTAGTAATGCTATAAGCAATCCTATCTAATAAAAAGAGTAATATGCAAATTGACTATTACTCCAACATGGCCAGCAGGGGAGGGCAGTTGGGAGCGATTAAGCCTGCAGGGGAAGGCTGTTGGGAGGGACCCAGGTCTGCAGGGGTGAGCAGTTGAGGGAGACCAGGCCTGCAGGAGAGGGAAGTTAGGGGTGACCAGGCCTGCAGGGGAGGGCAGTTAGGGGCAAACAGGCTAGCAGGGAAGTAGTTAGGGAGTGATCAGGATGGCAGGCGAAGAGGTTAGGGGCAATCAGGAAGGCAGGCGAGCAGTTGGGAGCCAGCAGTCCTGGATTGTGAGAGGGATCCCAGATTGGAGAGGGTGCAGGCTGGGCTGAGGGATGCCCTCTCCCCTGTGCACCGGGCCTCTAGTTTTTAAATAACAGTCCTCAAAGAATCCTATCAGTTGGAAGTTTTCCCAATTACATAAAGTAAGTTGTAAAAAAGATTATTTCAAGAGTGAAGCTAGAGTCAGGATAAGACCCAGGATTTCCTCAAAGACTCAACACCTTTATCCTTTAAAGCAGAGGACATTTTCAAAAGGGGTGTAGGGTAAAGAAAAAAAGGGAAGGGGGTTTGGGGCTGGAGGACAAAAAGAATGCTATCTATATGACATCCCTAGTAACTCAAACCTGTATCTCAGGTACTTCAAACTCCTACAGTATTACATTACATCAAAACCAGCTCCTCATAACCAGCAGCTCAAAGTTACTTATTATTTACCCTTAAAGCAAATGAACAATGATGGGGTTCAGTGCTGGATTTTTTCTATATAAATGTGAAGAAAAATTAAACCGAAGGATATTTTGTCAGTTTGCCTAACACTCAGACTAAGTCATGGTCCCCAAGTTACTTGGAGATAAGAGTAAAGACGACTACATGACACACTTCTTTTAACAAGAAGGCCGATGCTTTTCTTTTTTATGCTTAACTTTTTAATCTTTGCTTAATAAAAGTGGAAATTCACCTAAAGCCACAAAGGAAAGACAATCTTGTTTTATTATTGTTATAGAGAGCAGGAAATCTAAACAAAAGCAAAGTTTTTAAAATGGGGACAAGAGAGGAGCAAAGGACAGAGCTGTAGCTGTTTCTGATACATCTGTACCGGGAGCGATGCAACACAATAAATTCACACAGACACCGCAGAGAGAACAGGTCATTGCTGATTGACAGCAGTTATGTCACCATAATTCCTATAGGCAGAAAGCATAACAAACAGAAAATTACATAAAATGGTTAAATAAAGTATACTTGGTAATTCTAAGCAAGCAAAAATACATTCCATAAAATAACAATTTGGTACCTCTAAGAATTGGTGAAAAACTGGAAAAAGGGGCCAGATTTTTCCTAATAACAGTCCCAACATGCACTTGGCAGTGTTAATGTCTAGGCTGCGCTGGTCCTTTTCCTGTTTAACAAACAAAAACAAGGATGAGCCAGATGCCCCAAATAATAAATTCCCATAATCCAAATTTCTATTTCACGTCAACAAGACATTAGTGAACAGCTCATTAACCATTTATCATACACCATAGAGTCCCTGGGTCACGCCTGAGGTGGGGAAGGGGAGGCAGTCAAACAATGGAAGGCTTGCTCTCTCTGGTTCTACAGAAACATACTGTGAAAAGACTCATGTCAATGGAAATGATCTCTCTAATGCAAAAATCAATTAGTTATGTAGTAACAGTATCCACAATTATTTCATGGGATAAATAAAATCTGTAATTTAATCACTTGCTGTTTGATATTTATAATAATTACCAAAATCATAATTGCTCACCTCAAACAAAACCCATAATTTAACTAAATGTTTAATTTAACTAAAAGTTTCAACTTTCATGCTTGGAATCAGGTTCCTTGATAAATGTTGTTTTTCCAATAATTTATTTTGTTGGTAAATGTTTTTCTTGTACCTAAAAAGCACTGGAATTGAATTCAGCTCACAATAAAGGTTGGGGCTATGGAGCTTCTCTCCAACTCAGGGGGTGTATTCATCCTCCCACTCGGGGAAAAACAGTTTGTCTACTACGGTCCCTCTTACCTTGGATTTGTTGGACGTGAACTCTCCTAGCAGAATACCCCTAACGAGCAGCCAAGGGAAAGACAATATTTCATAAAGAAACCAGAAAAAAAGTAGGACCTAAACCTGAAATGGGCAGGTGAAGCTCATTCCACTTATACTTGCCATTAAGGATCCTAATTTCTCATTCTCCACTTTCTTACAAATTTCCATTCCAGGACTACAAGTGGGGCATTTCTATGTAAAGGGACAAAGGACCTGGGGCCATAAGCCTTACATATATCCAAAGCTAGCTTCCATGCAGTAGCTCACTCCGGTAGAAATTTGCAGAAGTACTTTTCTACAAAGGGAGAAAGTTCCTGGCTATCCCATCTAATGTTCACACTAAATTCAGGGATGACACTGTGACCACCACTGTCAGCAACATGTATCAGCACTGATTCAAGGACTCTAGCACTGAAATCCTCTTTGGTACACAGAATTCTTGGCTTTGACACTGAATTTAACAGTGAAGGACTTAAACAATACAGCAAATGGAAGGCCTCATTCAACAACAGCAAACACGGTAGATAAAGATACGGGAAGATGTGCAATAGGTCTGTCCTTTGATCCTAGGCATACGCCTTATTGACCCTCACCAACCGACCAGGAAAGATGGCTCCACATCACCCTTCTCTGTTCCAGACCACACAACTTAAGTCTGGTGATAGTGGGGGTGCCCCAATTCCACAGTGCAATGGGGCGTCCTTTCCACAGCGTTCTCTGCCTGTCCTTTGGCCTACATCATAGTACTTAGTCCTGATGGAAAGGAGAACAAGAGAAAAGGTGCTCTAGAGACTGTCCACCTTTTGCCAATCAAGCCTCATTGACTTGTTGCACTGCAAATGGAAACTTCCTCTTACCCTGTAACAAGGTGTGGCATATGGCACAGCACACCATACTGTGAAGCAATCCACATGAAAAATGAGTACATACACTGCTGAAAACACACGTGGTACCACCACAGGACTGGGCCAAACTTCACCTGTTGAAAAACAGCCCATGCAGCACCGGGCTGATGGTACTGGTGCTTGGAAAAGCTTTCCCTTGGAAAAGTTTGTTATCATTCACTAAATCTAAAATCTCTGGTCTTGCCATGATACATATTGTGTCTTTTCCCCCACATCATCAACAGCTATGTCCACATCACAATGGACATACACAAGGTGACAAAAAAGAAAAAAAAGATACAAAAGACCTGGACAAGACTCTTTGCAACAATATAATCATCTGACAAACTGATGATCATGAAGGACTTCGATGTATGTTTGGTTGGCAGTGATGCCCAGACAGGGAGAAAGGCATCAGACTCACAGGACCGGAAGCTGAACAGCACTCACTCACTCCTGCTCTGCAAGGGTGCCAGCCAGCAGCTCTCAATCACTAACACCATCTTCTGCCTAGCAAATAAGAGAGAGATATTATGGATGCACTCAAGATCTGAACAGTGGCAACTATCTGGTGGGTAGACTGGAGGCTACCTGCAAATGTCCATAAAACACTCAAAATTCCTAGGACCAACACAGTCAAGAGACCCCACAACAAAAAGCTACTGAACATCAACATGGAAACACACCTGGGGGTTCTCTGACAGCAATGACCCTGATGGCAGTCTCTGCCAAGGAGTTCCCAATTAAGTTACGTGAATCTCCCACAATGCTACGCAGCAGGGCATTTAAAAAATGATAATCACCATAACAAATTCAGAGAAAACAGCAAAGCCATCTAGAAGCTCCTCGCAGGAAATCGCGGTAGGGTACTGCAACACTGACCCACGGGCAGGCCCTGCTCCCAGGTCAGTCCAAGCAGAAAGAACCTTGAGACAGGCTGTCAAGAGTCAATCCGCACCCCCAGCAAGCCCATCCAGGTCAAAGAAGAAATGGAACTTTCCTCCCTGCCAATCTCTTGACTCCAGATGTGCTGGTATGTATTTCATAAATTTGAATTTACATATGAGAACAGACCTCTCAGTGGTACAGCTATAAAATCAAAGGATCCTACTCTGAATATTCTAAGAAGTTATGTTTTGTATATGGAATAAATACACTCCTCCAGTTAAAGACTATTAACAGCTAATGTACAGAGTAATAAAATTTTACTAAGGTCTGATTTGAAGTTCTAATATGAAAAAAAAAAATTACTGCCTTTGTTTATGTAAGGCTATTCTAGTATAAGTCTTCCTATGATATGTGAAAATTAAGCATTTTTTTCTTTAAATGGCGCAAGTGACCTAAGAACCAATAAATAAACAAATAGGTAAATGTATAGAGGCAAATGTAAATATTATAAAAATGTATCTCTAACCATGTAAGTATTCTCAGAGGCCCCCAACTATTTCAGATGACCTATTTCCGATTTTTACAAAGCTTTGATAGCTTAAGACCTGTATGTGAAAAGGGGGACATTTAATGATTAAAATCATTAGGAAAAAAATCTTCAACAGGAAAAAAAATTCCTAAGATTTTCAAGCATTAGTTGTACTAAAAATCAAACAAACAAACAAACAAAAAAAAAACATATAAGCAACCATGATTCACAAACAGTGGCAACCAAGTCAGAAATTGAAAGTGAACTCAAAAGGACTAACTAAAATGAAGACCTAAGACATACATCACAGAATTCCATCTGAGACCACAGGGATTACAAAAAATAGCAAATATACAATTCTCCATAACACAGCTACCTAAGTCAACACACACAGGTAAAAATAAGAGTGCTCTATCTTGAATCTTAAATAATGTGATTCAGTTTATAAAATAGAAAATTTATTAAATCATTTTTTTTTAATTTTTAAAAAATATATATTTTTATTGACTTCAGACTGGAAGGAAGAAGGAGCAGGAGAGAGAGATAGAAGTATCAATGATGAGAGAGAAAATCAATGATTGGCTGCCTCCTGCACGCTCCACACTGGGAATCAAGCCCACAACCCAGGAATGTGCCTTTGACTGGAATCGAACCCTAGACCCTTCAGTCCGAAAGCCGACACACTATCCACGGAGCCAAACCGGTTAGGGCTAAATCAGTTTTTTGTTTTTTTTTGTTTTATTTTAATGAGAGCTGGTTTTTTTCCTTTTTAATATACATTAAAACAACAACAACAACACACACACACACACACACACACACACACACACACACAAATCATAAAACCCAAGAGTATCATCCCACTGGGAAAAATGAATCGAAATAATTATGCTCTTAGAATGTCCCCAGCATTATTTTACAGATCATACTGCTTGCAAGGTAATTAATGAAACTTACCTATTTCCTTAACAAAAGAAAAAAATCTGCCTATGGGCATAGTCATTCCTCATCATTTTACTTGGTAGAGAGATTCTATTACTAAGCATTACTCTTGAAAACTAATGAGGTTTTGTACAGGCACCTAAGTAATGTTAGTGAATAATAATTTGAACAACTATTTCTAATTCTTTTACTGAGAACTGAATCAGAGCCAGAAATTGTTCCAAGTGCCTTATACTTAAAATTCATTTAATACAACCTCCCTTTTAGAATAGGCATTATTATTAGCCCCGATTTATAAATAAGGAAACTGAGCCAAGGGTGTTAAAATGATAGTAAGTGGTAGAGCTGGGACATGAACCTGAAAGTCTCATTCCAAACCACTGTGGACCACCTTGCTTCCCTGAGAAGTGATGAGGAAAGAGAGATTTAAATATAAACTCACATAGTCCAATTAGCTTTACAAGCAATTGCTGAGCAAATCTGTGTCTGTAATAACTAAGAGTAATTTTTTAATTGAGGTATAATTGACATACAATATTGTATTAGTTTCAGGTTGTATCATGATTCAACCTTTACATACATTATGAACAAAGAGTAATCTTAAAGATAAACTGCCAAGGTTTTTAGAGTAACGGACCTGGGATTAGATCATCATATTCTCCCTATTCTTGTCCTCACCTAACCTACTTTTTCCTTCCTTTGTAATTTCCAATTAAAAATATGAGGAAAAGTAGAGAGCTGTGTGTGTTGCACGAATTGTGTAGAGAAGAAAACAAACAGATTGACAAATACAGTAGTTAAGAAGCGAGACACTGACTCCAATTAGAAGAGGATGTGAGTCAAAATAGTCACCACAGACTGAGGTTAGAGTCAGGCAGAATTCTCTGATGTACAGAAGACCCAGCAGATTTTCCTTAGCAAATTATATGAGTACAGTAACAGCCATAATCATCTCTAGCTTAAATGGAAATGACTAAGCTACTGTTTTACTTAGAGAAAGAAAAGTCATGAACTTTAATATGCATGAGCTCTTCCATCTCCCAGAAACACCTCCTCAGAGACAGGGTACAGAAGCAGCACCAGTACCTAATGCTAGAGAA